TCTTATTATAATAAATTTTCAATTTTCAGTTTATCGAACTGATTCAGATGTTAATCATTCGTCATAATCCAGCTACTGGCCGTAAGATGGCAACACGTTGAATAAAAATTCTATATAAAATCAAAAACGTCGTAACTTGCAATAAAGGTATTGAACTTTCAACGATATAGCGACTGGGTAAAGTTTAAATTATATTAACAATCCAGAATTTGTTACATCTTTTTAAATTAGAAACTATTACCAATCATTATTAAGATTTCGTAGTGTTTATCATTTGTTTGTGGGCGTTTTGGCGACAGCGGTTCCGATAGTAATTGAGACTTAAGGCACTTCTATTGTTTTTTTCTTCTGTGGGTCGGACGGAGTATAGTATTATTATGAGAAGTATGGTAACGCGATACAAACGTAGCTGCACGGCGAGTACATTTGCACACATAAATATAAATACGAGTATAATAACGCACATACTCAACATTTGCATAATAATGAAAGGCGATAGGGACGACTAGCGCTATGCAACTCGAATGCGTCGCGAGATTATGCGAATTTGTGCGTCCGTACAAGGCACGCGCAGTACGTGCACACCACACAAGCTACGCTGCTACGTTTCTTAGAAATAATCCATGCCCAACAGTAAGATTTAATACTACAGAAGCTTTTGCGGGCATGAGCACGATTCACGAAAGTTTTATCGCAATTGGATGAATAAGAATAGTATGCTTACGGAACAAACATGTATCCCTTTTTATGTACATATACATATATAGAGACAACTAAAATTGTAATTGTTTATACTGTAAAGTGCTCTCACAACGTACTGAAATTAGAGGAAACTTGGCTCTGATAGCTTTGTCAGTTTTGAATCTAGTTTTGAAAGGACCAACTTGAAGTAGTTTATAATATATGTTTAACTATGTTCGTCGAATAGTGGAAATAGAAACGAGAAATTGGATATTGTAGCTCTATTTGCTTTAAAACACTGCAAAATGTTTAGTATCTAAATTGTAAGGTACGTTTTGTAGATTTTACGGTTGTGAATTGAAGATACCAACCGCGATTATCACGACCTCCGATTGTTCTCAGTACTGATTTTTACTCTGTGCACGTAATTCACGACGTTATTGAAACAAACCAAACATCGTCTTTTGTTTCGAAATTTGTTAACAGGTACTTACGCAAAATTCCTGAGTGATGAATATCCAAATATAACGTTCCGGTTACCTACGTGTACTATAAGTAGCAATAGAGCTGTTTGTGAAAGAGTACGTCCAGGGTAGTACTGCCACCTTACTTATTTCGGCCGCCAAGCAGTAATGTCAGCATTACTGTGTTTCGGTCTTGAAGGGTAAGGTTGCTGGTGAAATGACAGGCCCATGGGACTTGTCAACTTGTCAACAACTGTTGTCGCGCATGACTTGTTCGTTCCGTCACTTGATATTATAAAAAAAGGTCACGGAACTCAATATTACTTATTTTATTTCAATTACACTTTTCTAAATTGAATTGGGTTTGATTCTCACTTACATTCATCTTTTGTAATTGTTGTAAAAATATTAATATTACCTATATAGCTATATTAGACAACATCACATACGTTGTTCAGATTCCAAAGTAATTAACTAAAGCACTTGTGTTATGGAAATCGGAAACAAAAGACTGTACCACAAACACCAGACCCGAGACAAAATTGAAAAGTTAGTTTCTACGTTGACCCGGCCGGGGATTGATCTCAGGACGTCGGAGATGGCGAAACCATGAAAACTGGTGTGCAAGCTACTCCACCACAGTGGTCGTCAAGTGTGCTTGTGTTGAATTTTTTTATCCGTCTTGATTTACGTAAGAAAATAATACAAAGTTTTATTTTATGCTGTTGAATAAGGTCGGCTAAATTTGAAAACCTAGTACCTATCTCCGGTCTCAGAATCCCTTTTTGCTCTTCAAGCGCAATATCGGGCAATTAAAGCTTAAAAGAATAATTTATAGACACTTTTTAGTTACAAAATTAAGATGTAATCATAGATTTACATATACAATTATTTCTAGTAATTCTGTTTTTTGTGCCTATCTAAAGTTCACATTAATGGAGGTACGAGGTTTATGAGTTTAGCCGATGAAAAGTAAATATTTCTTCTATACTTATCAGTGGCGACGCGTGAAAACTTTCGTCAGTAAAGCCGGTTCAAAAAAGTCACCTACCTGAACAAATACTTTTTTTTTTCGTAAAAGGCGTGCATAGTATAATAATCGAATTGGACTAATTGAATCATTTACAAATAAATGTACAGAAAATACAAAAATGTACCTGTAAAAAAATCTTGAAAAGACGCCTTGGAGAAACTTAAGACAACACTTATTAACAGACAAGACACAGTAATGTAAAGGTTCCATAACGCTAAATAAAAATTTATTACATTATTTTAACAATTAATAGTTATTAATAGATATAAAATTAATTATACTTGTATACAAACTTACATGTCGAATCGTAGAATTGCGACAAGTGAATGTAATTGTTGCCACTTTATTTTGCTATAACACGAGTTTCTCTTACCTTTACATAGGCTAGACCTAGTAAAATAAGACACCTAAACAAACATTTTTGTAACGCTATTTATCGTTCAGCATTTACAAAATACTAATAGGCCTTTTTAATTAATATGTTATTATATTTGTTTAACAGTAAAAAAAGTTTTATACTTGGCAACAATTTTTCCTAAGAAACACATTGGCAGCAAATTCAAATCAACCTTCACGCTATATGCAATAAGGTTTAAATTTAAGTGAATATTTGATTGACTCCATCATTAGCGGGTTGCCGGCGAGCCATTTCTGGTTCGTTGTCAGATAACCTCCAAAAAGTGCCCCTTTCAATAACTTTTATGTTATTACATGAATTCTAAGCATTATTTATTTAATATGACTGCTTGCTGACTTAGTCTGTGTTATACATAAAAAGATTACTTTACTAAGTCACAGTAATAAATAAAAATTAAAAAAGTGGGCAATTTCTCATTCATGGGAGCCGGTTCCACGTCGCCCTAATTTTTAAAAAAAAAGAAGAAAAAAATTAAACACTCGTGGAAATTGCAATATTTTCCATCGAGGATAAACTCTAATAACTTGCACGTCGAATACATATCGTAACTTTCCAATTTATTCTAAACAAACCATGTTTTCTTGGGAATACAAAATGTGTCTCAATTTTTTCTTATCATTAGTGTCAATTCAACTAAAAGCCTCCTAATAACCAAAGTTCATACCACAACACCTTCACCCTTCGCACACTTGAGAAGGGTCTTCTGTCGGATTGGAGTGTACACAGTGAAGTAACCTGTGCATCTCCGTTTTAGCAAAAAATCGACTTAAATACCAATATCAACGCTAGTGACTAAATCGTTCTCATTCATGTAAAGCAATCTATCTAAATAAGTATTAAGTAATAGTTTTATAAACTTTATTGTACATCATCATAACATCATCATTAGACAAAGGGAACTTTAAAACCCATGTGCTTTTATAACGGTCCAGCATATCTTACACATCTGGCAATTAAAAATGTATACAAATATCATTATTGTCGCTCTCATTCTTGTCTACTTTTAAGTCAAATAGTTACTTTAAGCCAAACATTTTACTTGAAATATAACAATTAGATGGCGATAGTGGTGGTGATGACGGTGATGATCATGATGATGGTGGTGATGATGACGATGATGATTGTAGTGATGTTGACGATGATTGTGATGATGATGAGAATGGTAATGATGCTGATGATAATGGTGATCATGATGATGATGTTGATGATGGTAATGATGATATATTGATGTACAACAAAATTTATATGACATTAATAAAATACTTATTTAGATTTATTTATTAATTACATATAGATAGATAGACAACCTTACACGGATGAGAAGGATTTTGATATAAGAAGTTATATTAAAATATTTGTTACATGTTAAATGTTTTTTTCTGAACGATAAAATGTGTGTTGTAATAATAATTTCTCATCACTGTGCCGTCTTTCTCATTTATGTTTATGAGAAAATCATTCGTGTGACCTAAAATATCGTTTTTTGTTGCATTTAACATAAATATTTCTGTGATTTTAAAATTATTGACATTGCTTGAACTTATTTGTACGTTTAAGACCTTAAAACCAAAAGAAAAAAGTGTTTTACAAAAATCATTCAAAAAGTGCCATTGAAATTCGAAAAGTGAAATTCACCCTTCTACGAATGTATGATAGCGGACTTGTGCAAATGTGTGCGTGAATTTTGTTGTACTCGCGTAGGTTTTATGAGCGAAATAAAAGCCGAAAAATTACCGGGTTAACTCGGGTTGTGATTGGTTAATAAGATCTATCGGGAAGCTCCGTATTATCAAGGACAGGTTACTTACTACACGTTTATTAATGAATATTTTGAGTAAAGTTTTTAGGTAGAGGGGTATGCGCGCTGTCTCGTACAGTGTTTTGATCATACGTGGAAAATTTTAGAAAAGTCGGTGGAATGGGCTATATATAATATAACTCGTAAATAAACAATCAGATAGTATGAATATCAGTATATAAGTATTTATACTATATGATTGTTTATTTATATCTCTCTGATGTTTTTCTTTCTTTATCTCTTCGTAATTCCGTTTCCAAATGTCCTTTTTCTTCGTTATAAAAACAGAAGTTGAACTGAAGACCTTGTCAGTGGTCGAAACACCAAATGCGAAAAAACAACATCAAAAAATAAATTGATGCAATAATGGAGATATTTGCACAGGTGGCCATAATTGCTTTTCGATTAAAAACATGTGGGTAGAGAGATTTTCAAATTGACATTTATTCTCGAGTTTTGAGCGATTATATTAAGCGAAAGAAATAAACCTAAATTTGGCTTGTCTTTTGTCACCCATATTGCCACTATTACTAAATTCACTGTATGCATAACAATGAATTATTTTACCTATAAGTCTGAAATTCAACATAAACATTTTGTCCTCAGACGATTGACTGAACGCGTCAACGAACTTCTTCACACAGAGAATGTCTACGTGGAAAGGTTAAGGCATGTAGTCGAGAACTACATTCCCGAGATGTCTCGGGATGACTTGCCCACCACTCTGTGGGGTATGAAGACTGATATCTTTGCGAACATAGAAAAAATCTTCAGGTTCCACGCCGAAGAGTTCCTGCCTGCGCTGAGACATTGCGAGAATGACCTCAAGAAGTTGGGGCGGTGTTTCAGGCGATTTGTAAGTAACGTTTGAATTAAAGTTCTTTGAATTATGATATTCAGTTATATGATGCTGTGATTTAGATCACATTTAAAACACGATGGTGGATTTATTTTTATTGAATGTCACGATGTTTAATCACCGTGATATTCATTTATAAGGCGTTGAAAGCCAAAAGACTCAATACAAATTTGTATAACAGACATGGAATAATTTCGTCGACGAGCTCAGTTGACAAAACAACGGTACGGTACAACGTGGACACAGGTTCAAGCTAGAAGGAATTTTTCTTGTATTCGATCTTTGTATTATTTTTTTAGTGATGTCTAAACTGCTAAAATACGTATAAGAACAATACTAGTTAACCCTGGAGAACGTACTAGCCTTTCTTGAGTAATCATAAAAAATTAATAAATTATTCATAAAACAATTACTGTGAATTCATCGGTGTCACGGCCTCTTTAACTAGCAATTATAAACTGGATTATCCTTCCATTTTTATCAGATTTATAGATAGACATAGGCGGGGCAACTGTTATCACAGCCAGGGGTCTAATTACAATGGTTTAACACATTCATGCGATTAGTAATGCACGATTCTTCACAGTTCCGCAAGTAAATGCTACTTTGACGTGGAGGTGGATTTTACTGCATTTCGCAATGTTAAGTGAAAGTACTTTAATTTCTCGAAAATTCTGGGTCACTAGATGGTATATTGAGAAAAAAAAATTGAAAAGAACATCAGGAAGTGAAGGTACCGCCGATTATCATGTATCGTAGCATACAGTGTATTCGTAAAATACTAACTTAATCGCAGGTCTATGGCACTATTAGTCACTAACATCATAAATAATTTCGGTTCTATAACTTTTAATAATTTATCAGATTTTACTGTCGTACAAAAATTATTTAAAATAGGCTCTAAACAGTGATAGCTCTTTGTGGTAACGAAAGAAAGCGCTAGCGTTGGCCTTACACGGCCTGCTAGAGCAGTTAGCCAAGTGGTCGGATAGGGTAAGAAACATCGATGTGCTTCGGCGGACGAATGTCTTCGGCATTGAGGGATATTTAATGCGGCGTCAGCTACGTTGGTGTGGACACGTCTCGCGCATGTCTGAATCGAGAGTTGCGAAGCGTATTTTCTTTTTTGAACTTCAGAATGGCAAGCGGAAGCAAGGCGGCCAGTTGTTGAAACACTTGAAAGACACATGAAAAGTTGCGACATCAAGGGGGTCCTCGAGGTGGGAGATGCAGTCGAGTTGCCGTTCTGGGTGGAGGCACTTTGTGAAAACTCAGGTGACAAAATTTGAGGAGCAGAGACTGTCAGACCTGGACGCGAAGCGTGATGCTCTCAAGGCTAAGACGGCTGCAGCCATCTTTTATTACTATGTTGACGGTGTCCTTACGTGTCGCCAGTGTTTGCGAACATTTACCAATAAGATTGGCTACTGTAGCCATCTAAGGGCACATGAAAAAGCAAACAACCGCAACTCTAATTCTAAACAATAGCAGTCGCTGTAGCCGGAATCGGCTAGGACATATACACACACACACACACACATTAGTCCAATGCAAAACGCAGGAGCGGGGGCCGGGGTCGTGATCATCGGCGAGGACCCTTGCATGTTTGAACTTACTATCACATACAGATCTAAAAAAAGTCGGACAGTGCAACAAAAACTTAAAACTTTCTTTTTGATAAATTTATTATGTTTTATAAAAAGTCACAGTATACAAGTTGTTATTTATGATGTTAGCTACGACTAATACCAACGCGGTAAAAATGTAATCAAAGACAACTAATTTATAAAAAGGTCAAAAGTTGATTATTTTTATGTAGGTTTGATTCAAATACAACAAATGGATAACTCGCTTGTAACTGATACCGAAAAACAGTATTTTCTCCACCAATAGACATTGTTTCTTAGGAACTGATCAGATTGTGGCAATCGCTGTTCGTGGTCTAGTCGTTGCGGTCCGTTGGAAGGTGATTTTCTTCTGAATAAAATGTCATATTGTAATCCATACGAGTAAAAGACTTTCATTGCATTTTTGTTTACAGGAACAAAGGTTCAACATGTACGTTATGTACTCTAGGAATAACAAGAGAGCCACGAGACTGGTGTTTGAGCACAAACAATTCTTCCAGGTTTGTTGTTTTATTACTTTTTTGTTTTTCTTGAGTGGATATGTGATTTCACTTCTGTAGTTTGTTCAGACAAAAGTTTTTATGATGAGTCGACTAAACGCATAAGTTTAAAGTAAAGTAGGTGTTCTGCATTCATAGTTTTACGTGAAGGTACCTATAGTGAATTGGAAATGAAATAATTTTTTGTCGCATTTAAATCGCGTACGTATAATGAATCATATTGGAATTAGTTTTTTTCACTATCTTGTACGGGGATTCCCCGAATGATAATAAAAAACCTACCAACATAACTTTACAGATTGTCATACAAATACATGAAACTTAACACTTTTATCTTTCCGCATAATCTATATTGGTTATTATAGGCATTTGAGGTTCAGCCGTTCCTCTTCATATATCATTGATTTTTAACCCTGTATAGTCCGTAATATATGTGGGAACAATAACTTAGAAGTAAATTAATAAATGGATTCGCTTACGTCTCGATGATCAGGTAATGAAGTAGCATAACGCATATTGAAATACAAATCGTGTGAGCATCACTTTTTACAAGAACGTATTTTCTTATGCGAATGTAATAGTACTTAGATAATGCACCTCATAAGATTGCATCCTCATAAATGATCATAGCATTATCGGGATGTATAAGAAGCGTCACGGTTGAGCGATTTCCTCATTTTAAGTAAGTGTGCGCAATGGCAAGCGGTGTTGAACAACCGCTTCTGCCACCGTTATTTGCACGTACATATTCCGTTATGAATTTGAAATAGATTTACTTAATTCGCTAACATCCCAATAAGACATTCAACACCACCAATACATTCATAAGAAAAACGCAAATATGTTAAGGACTTAAACAGCTGTGGTAATTCCGAAGAAAAATTGCGAACCTGTGAATGACTTGATCACTGAACAAGACAAATTGACTTATCACAGAATTTTCACTTACTTACTTACTTACTTACTTACTTACTTTCACTTACTATATAATTGGTTGTAACGAATAATAAAAATTAATTCAATAATGCACTTGTTTCATATATATTTGTACAAACACAACTTACTAAATATACATTACTTACTTTCACTATTATAAAAAGGTAATTTTCATCTATTTACTATCCAAGTTATTGAATTGATCCATGAAAATCAACTACCTGAATAAAGGTGCCAAGTTCCTAAAAAAGGAAAAAATATTAATAATATATAATTAGGTGGGTGAAGGGGAACACACCTTATTTTGTGCAAATGTTTTGTGCTCTAGGAAGAACAGATATAGTCTTAAGGTTTAATAAGGTTTTGAAGTAGACTAAACTTACCTTTGTTTATCAGCTTTACATGTTTCTTAAATTACTACTGACGAATACTTAGGATGTATTTGCTGAATAACGTTTCTTTTCCCGTTTTTTTTTTAAATTACGTAACTTTTTTTATAAACGGTCGTGTAAGTGTGTGTTGAAATGACATGTTTAATTAAGAGAAAGATTTTATTGTCCGAAATTTCATTACTACCACATGGTAACTTTATAATTGTGAAAGTTTACATATCATTGTCGCGCCCTATTTCATTCTTCTCAGTCTAGTTGCTAGAGCTGCTCCAGTAATCTGATCGTGATCTGATCACATATCACTCGGCCCCAATCACACAGCAGATGGTGAAAGGCGATTGTTATTGATATGCGATAATTTGCAATGTCTTTAAATTGATGAGATGCAGTGACAATTTTATTGCACTTTGTCAAGAACTGTATGTACATCGTTTATGAGAAGTCATTATATAGATTGTTTTTGAAAGTAGATAAATATTATGCGACATTTTGATAAGTCTATTTAAATTGTTGTTAGTTTTATTTTTTAACAAGCCATATTTCAATACAATATTCGTTAAATGTTGTTTACTCGAAAACATCGGCGTCAACTAGCGCAAACGTGAACTAAACTAATTTAACTCAAATTCCTGTGTGTAAGTCGTCTTACTGACAAGTAAGAAAAAGACAGAAAATTTAATTTTATATATTATTTATTGAATTATGTGGCATACAAAAAGGTCTTAAAGTTATTACATGATCCAACGCAAACCCTGTAAGGGCACCGTAACTTAACTTACTTTATATTAGTTTATTGCTAGTACTTTATCTATTTTCATTATCTATTATCATTATCATTGTCTATTATCATTATCTATTATTTTTATTGTCTATTATAATTTTCTATTTATATATTTATTGAGTAATAATCAAAAAACTCCTGTCAATTAAAAAATAGTACGTATAAACAGTTTAATTAAACTGTTACAGTAGACAGACACATTAAACGACAATGGTAACACAGAACAGTAGGTACCATAAGAATAAAAATAGTGAGTTAATGTACGCGCCGCTTCATTGCTGTGTGGCGATTTCTTTGGGATATAAATTTATATATAGAGCAAAGCGCAGAAAAGGCGAAACTCAGGAGTTAAAAAAAGTGAAAAAAATAATAATTTATTTCTATGTCCGATTTTTCAAGATTAGTTGCCCTCTATTGTCTGGACTAATACTAATTTTATTCCACAGGAGAAACAATTAGAACTAGGCGATAGACTAGACCTTTCAAGCTACTTATTGGAACCAGTGCAGCGACTACCTCGATATAAATTATTTCTCGACGATTTAGTGAAAACGTACACAAGCTATGAAAATGAAAGATGCGAGTCAGACTCTAGGATATCACATCTTAGCGCAGACAGTGATGAGACAGGGGGAAGTAATGGCGAGTGTTCAGACAACGATGAAACGCCATTGGAAAGTTTGAAATTAGCCAAAACTGTAGTTGAAGACATGTTGACGGCTGTTGATGGAATTATGGCTCTTGAGAACATTAGTGAATGTCCAGTAAGTAATTTTTGTATTTTTATTTGTCGATGTGGTACTGACATACCTAATGGTATGGTGTAACAAGATTTTTTGTATTTTAAGTCATATTTAAACTAACCTAAGACACAAGAATGAAATAATAATGTGGTTAAATGTTTAATTTGGAAAATGTAATGCTTTAAAGCAGGGTTGGAAGAGATAATTTTTATTGATAATTGTCATGATTATTCACGGTAATTGTCTTTCTAAATATATCTTGATCAGTATTTTGATATTTATAAAATTACTTGGAACTATAAAATGTTACCGCTAGCAATATCGTGCCATAATATGTTTGTATTAGAAACGTATCTAAACGTGTCAAATGTCAATCTCAAACAAAATCTTTTTTTTAAAGATTTTTCTTCGAGCATTTTTAATTTTATTAATGTTGGTCATTATTACTGAAAAATTGAAGAGACAACACTATGAATCAGCAAGGATAGTTATCGGTAATATATCGGACAATCATCAGATAATTATCATGACAACAATTAAAGAAAATAAATAACGTGATAATTTCATATATTTGGGGCGCATTATAAGAAAAAAACACTATAAATGGTTAGAAATAAACTTATTGTTTCTCAAAATATTTTCCGTTAGCGTTAATGCACTTTTTCATAAGAATGACCCAATTTTGAAAACATTTATGCCACCCCTCCGTGACAATCTCTGAAACATATTTTTCATACCCTTCGACAGCCTCTTCAGGTGATGAAAATCGTTGACCGCGTAACTGGTTCTTAATTTTTGGAAATAAATAAAAGTCACAAGGTGCTAGATCGCGACAGTACGCGTAAGGGCTCGTAAGGTCAACGTTGTTCACTTTCAAAAATTCATTTGTCTGTCTGGCCGTATGAGAACTGGCATTATCGTGGTGCAAGATGATATAGTGTTTACGGTTATTTTTATGGAGTTTGTCAATAACTTCCGGCAAAAAAATGGTCGTGTACCAATCACTATTCACGGTACAATAATTCTCCAAAGCAACAGTAGCCACGTGTCCAGTTTTATTAAAACCATCATCATCATCCGCTTAGAGGAACTCTGCACGCGCGCCACTTTGGTTGGTTTCGGCTTATCTCGAAAGACCCATACGCTCGATTGCTGCTTTGTTTTGGGATCGTAACTATAAATCCATATTTCGTCACCTGTTACTGTGTCCCACACCAAATTTGACACCGCTTCGTTGAATCTGGTAAGCATGGCATTGCACCAAGTGACGCGATCCGTTTTTTGAGCATTAGTCAAATTGTGTGGGATCCACTGAGAGCACAGCTTTTTCATATTCAAATATTTGTATTTGTATTTGTATATTTTTTGGCAATACAAATTGAAAACTCGAGAACCCTTGTCTACTTGCTCACGCAGTTATGGCGTCTCATTGTATTGATATAATAAATCTGAATTATATATAGTATTACTCTGCACTAAATACATGAAAAAACATAACTGAATGAGTCTCAGATAAGTCTTTTTATTTTCTTTCGGAAAACAAAAGAAACTCGTATTTTTATCCCGTATAGATGATGATAAACAGCCGTACACAGCACAACTCACGACCATTATAAATAGTAATGTAAAATGATATTATATGTTAACATACAAGTTTCGTAATGAATAAATGAAAACTATATTATATTAAGCCGTCTTAGCGTGAAAACGTCTTGCCGACAGCCTTGTTGTCGTTCAGTCAATATGACCGTCTATGTGCGGGGTGTGGTGCGGTATCTAAAGCTAGAGAGGGGCGGAGAGTGTCCGTTCTCGTTACTTTTTTGTTACAGTATACGTTACTGATCAACAATTTCGTGTGGTGTTGAGCCTCTTTTTACTATATATAATAAATAACATGGAAACAAAGAGCGCTATTAATATAACGTTATAAAAATGGAAAAGTTTACTTCCATTGTCTAATTTCACTTCCAGCCGCAGTTGAATTTGCTGAACCAGGGTCGCCTTTTGCGCCAGAGTGAGTTCTTCGCGATGGACACGGCGCGTCGCCGCCGGCAGCTCATGAGAATCTTTCTCTTTGACAAGCTGGTGCTTCTTACGGTTGTTTACAGGAAAGTAAGTTATCTTTAACTGTTAATTTGAACGTATTCTAACATTTTTGCTTGAAAACTTATACGATACTTTCAGTTGTTTAATACAATATCATGGTAAAGATTTTGGTGTGCTTTTAGTGACCTATTCGCTATATATATTTATTTTTAGTGATATATTTACTAAATGTATTCTTAATTCTCAATTGATAAATTAAGTTGCTGGTATAGGAAGCAATCAAGTACGTAACGTGCAGGTTCATATGTCAGTATTTATCATTCGCAAACAACATCAGAAAAGTTATAAGTCTTAGCACTCAAATTGTATTAATTCTTGCATTCATTGTAAAAATATATACATATAGTATGTAATACTTTGAAATGATAATGTCAGTTGTTATGAGCGCAGCAAAGTCAGAGAAAAGGCTATTCATTTTCTGAACAAAATTTCAAATTGAATGTTAAATTTCATGGTCTTCATTTTACTTAATATGTTATGTTATTTAGAAGAAACCAATCCTTATGATTGAGTCTTTTGTTAAATGTAGTTAAATGACAGGTGTTTATTTTCACATTTGGCGGGTTCGATTCCTTGTTCAGGGAGGCGATTATTTAAAAATCTTTGAATGCAGATCGAATTGTTTTTAAAATCAAAATTAAGTCTTCTTTCAGTAAAATTTTATAAATCTACGGTATTTAAGGTACTTTCGCAAGGTACACAGTATATTCCTATATATATATATATATCTATAAATCGTTTATTTATATCAGCATATAAATATAATATATGTTTATATTATATATAAGGTTTAGTGGTACATAGGACTAATATTTGACTAAATCCTAAAACATTTAACATTTGCACTCTAATCATAGATCAGAACATTTCATTCACCCTTATTTATTTGACAACAACCGTTGCGAATGTTTTACAATTATATATTTGTATATTGGAATTTTGTTGAAAAACGTAACCAGAAGAGCGAAATATTTTGATAATGGCCTTGTAAACGATTACGCAAACTTTGACCTTATTACCATGTTGCCTCTTTAAATATGTTTACATTACCTTTGTTGTTTGTTATAAAAAGACACGTATAATAGTTGTTATTTATAAAACAAAACATCAACCATTAGTCATTTTCATGATTCATTGCTTATCATTGGTAAGTTAATAAAAATTAAAGTAAATAAATTATAATAATTGCTACCAGTCCGTACCATTGCGTTAAGTGATAAGAGAAACTCGTGTTTTGGCTTTTATTGCTAAGTTTGTAATGCTATGATATAATAAATGAATGTCTTGTTGTATATATATCAGTAGTATTATTAGATCATTCGATTCTATTTTCAATAACGTGGCTAATGGTGACTGTTCTGATGTTTACGGAATAGCCGTGGTAACTTCAGTTACATGTCTAAATTATCGATAATTATATTAGAACTTGACACTACGTCAAGTGTACAGTCGTAAATATTATAGATCGGTTCGTTCCGTAGTTCAGTCGGGAGAGCATACGCTACGGCATAAGCTAAAAAAAATTTTGTAAATGTTATTTACAAAGAGCAACCCCTAGAGTTTCTTGCTCATTCTTCTCAGGGGAATCTGCCTTACGAATGAGCGGTAGAGTTTAACCATTGTGACGATTTGAAGTGTAATGATGCTTACCTATGAAATAAAGATTATATTGAATTTGAATTTGAACGGTATGGCGAATTCGCTGGTTTGAGTCCATTTGCATCGGAGGAACTTATCTGTGTGTTCGATCTTTGTATTAATAATTATAACAAAACTGATAGAGTAATTTCACAAAAATTATTGAATATTCTAGTAGTAAAACATTATGATAAATTTAATATCACAGTATATAGTATATATTCCAAACTTTATTCACTGTAAGTACCAACTGTAAAGAAAATAAAAACGGATTTCAGTTCTGACTGAGCGATGTTCACGGGAAATTTGCAACGTTACGAAAACGATTTCTTAATTTGTTAAAAATTAAACAGATATTTATCAGTATTATGACGAAATGTTATTGTGTAATTTAAACTTAATGACCTACAATAAAGTTTTCCATTCCAAGTGCGACAACTTATTCTACCTATAAAATAATAAATAAATATTAGACATTATATGTTGCTCTGATTCCAAAGTATGTATAACTAAAACCCTTGTGTTATGGAAATCGGAAACAACGACAATACCACAAACACCCAGACCAGAGACAACATAAAAAAGTTAGTTTTGCTTCTTTGGCCTGGCCGGGGATCGAACCCGGGACCTCAGAGATGGCGACATCAAGAAAACTGGTTTGCAAGCCACTCGACCATGGAGCCGTCAAAACGTATATATCTTCAATAAAAGGCAATTTAATACCATTCCAAATAATCGTAAAAATAGTGAAGCTGTTGCCACAAATAATACTCAGTAATTCTCTTTCAATAAGTGGAGGCTACTTAATTGGTGGGGGTAATGAAATACGTCGGCATTTATGGAAATAGTTTATTACAGTCGGTCGCCTTCCCGGCGACGCATTTCAAGAAGTTGTCTTATCTTTTGTACCTATACGGCTAATCTAAAAACATTAGCGGTATTTATATGGTCAGAAGAAATACATTAATATAATTATTGGCAAGCCGAGTTTGCCCAAATTAGTATAATTCCTAGAATACTTGGCCCTAATATTATAATTTGATGAATCACTATTTCGGGAATTATCCCGATTACATCAATATGTAATCATATTTTCATTAATGTTATCTAAAGCTAGTAGATTATGTTTGTAACTATGTATTAAACATATTGGCGGTCATTTTGAATACAGAATGGAAACTATAGGAAGTTATGTTTTGTGCACAAAGCAATATAAACTACTTTCCGAACCACGTGACGTTGAACCCAATCGTTTATAGCTTCAGGCGTTATTTTTCGGAAGTCCATTTCATAAAAATGGAAGTAAATTAATTTGTTACTCCGTGAGCACTTTGAAGGTTAATTCCTGGAAAGTAGCTACATTAGACATGATCACATACGGTGCTCTGATCCAAAAGTAAGTAACTAAAGCACTTGTGTTATGGAAATTGAAGAAAACGATGGTACCACAAAAACCCCAGACCTGAGTCAAAATAGAAAAGTTAGTTTTTGTATATTGACCGGGCCTGGGATCGAACTTGGAACCTCAGAAATGGCGACACCGTGAAAACCGGTGTGTAATCTGCTCTATAGTATACTTGTGTTGACATTTTTTGTATATATACATGATTGGGTTGATAGTTTTGGGTGGTGGTTTGTGACCGATGTTGCGCCTGTGATATTTATTTTATTAATTTTATGCGGAAGTGGGGTGAGAAAATTAACTGTATGATAATTGTAACTTTTAACCGACTTCAAAAAAAGGAGGAGGTTCTTAAGTCGACTGTATTTTTTTATGTATGTATGTTACGCGATAACTCCGGTATTTGTGAAACGATGTACCCTCTTTCCAATAAAAAAGAATCATCAAAATCGGTTCACAAATGCGGCGTTTTCGCGTGCAAAAAATACTTCTTTTTTGAAGTGAGTTACAAAAGTGAATACAAATAATACCGTAGTTACTTCGGTTCGCAAAAATAATAACCCGAATTGAAGATTTCGGAAGACGGAATTCGGATTTAGTGCGCAGTCTCTCATATAATTAGTACTACTACTAGATGATTCGGAACTGGGCGTCTACTCTCGATCTCCGTCTACATCCGTCCGAAACAATTACTGTCAAATAAGTAATATTCGACAAGATTAAAAGACAAGTATCAAGTATGAAGAATTCATTCGCATCACGCGTCTATTCATTTGGTCAAGTATTGCTTATTTGGCAGTAATTGTTTCGGACGGAGATCGAGAGTAGACCCCCTGATACGGACGTAGTGCGCAAATGCTCTAACTCAAGTTTTATAGGCCAAGGTACACAAACAATAACAATGCACATGGCTCATACCAAGCAAAAACGGAATTTCTCTTATTACTACGTTTATATTAACCTTTCAATGCCGTTGAACAAAGTCACCACGCTCCACTGAACTCACCTGTTCACTGACGACACAGGAACTACGTAATGGACACTGACAGACAAACAGACAGTGATTATATTGAAATCGGCTGGCAACATGCCAACGTAAACATCGCGATCGAAAAGCTGTTGTATAAATTTCGATATTCGCGGTACTGTTGATATTAAGGTGATTGGGACGTTCTTGTATGGTTAAAGTAAACCAAATTTTTGAGAACCCTTACATTGCATGAGAACCATTACTTACAAAACAGGGATAAACGCAAAAATTTAATAGGAATCTTAGCCAGTGACGGTAGTTGGGGTAATTTGGTCGAAACGTCGGTGTAATAGGTATGTGTGCAAAAACTAAATTTAGGGAAAGCTGTGAATACATTTTTTTTATTATACCAAGTAATGGGATGAACTACTCGAGCGCATGGTAGTAAGCGACAAGTTTTTCAAATCTATATCACGTATATTTTGTTTTTTAAAACAAACCAACGTTTCGGGCCGTTTACAGATTCCATTTTACAAGTATAATATCATTGGATTCCATATTCACGGTTGACTGATGCGGTAAAGCCAACAACCAGTTATGTCTAATACTCTATTATTTTGTTATGTTTAATTTCCATAGGTACAACGGTTTAAAAGTAACCGTAGCCGAAATGTTCATTTGTTTGAAAAAATTAATATACCCGACTCAAATTCGAAAAAAGATTTCATTTTAAATGTGTAAAAATCGCAAAAGTCCAAGAATTTGTTATTTATTGTCTTAATTGACAAACATTAAAAAAAACATTATTAAGAAATGTTTTGATTGGTAGAATATGTATAATTTTTATAAGTGATTATCACTAGTATCAGGTTTCTTACCACGGTATGACTTCTTTTTATTTGCCGATATTTCGGAACGGTTGCACGCTCCATGGTCACGGGTTGACTGGATAAATAAAAGTTGATTTATTAAAGTCAATTTTGTAATTTTTTGAAGTTGCCATTAATTCTATATTCAGTTTTACACGTCCATTATGTAATAATAATCAATTATTGATCATTAATTAAGGTAGCTATTGAAAATTGAGAATACCTAATATTATAAACATCGATAACCCGATTACATCAATCATCAAATTATACAAAATATGTCATTTATCTTTTCAGCAAACGTCGATAGAATTTTTCATCTACAAAGACCACATACCTATTGATGATTTGGGCATCACGGCGAAAGAACATGACCAGTACAAATTCACAATTTGGTACAAAAAACGAAACCTTAAGTCTTATAAATTGGAGACAAGAGATCCCTCTATAAGAAATTCCTGGGTTGATGAGATCACTTCGCTGTTATGGGAACAGGCCATGAAAAAGAAAGGTGAGAATGTTTTTCTTTATAATCAAAGACAGTCAACGTTAGTAAAATAATATTAATTAGTTTTTAATAACAAAATGCCTATTACATTCTACGTTATTGTCAAATATTGTTGGATTCTTTCAAAACATCTAACACAACGGAGAAGAAGTTATGTAGAAAGTTTTCAGAGTTTATTTAGAACACAATTTTGTTCTTTTTGACCGACTTCAAAAAAAGGAGGAGGTTCTCAATTCGAATGTATTTTTGTGTGTGTATGTTATACGATTACTCCGATATATGTGATCCGATTTCGATGATTCTCTTTTTGGTAGAAATGGGGTATCTTAGTAATAATCTCATTGAAATTTGCAGAAAATATTCCAGCTCTAAATGTCAAATTTGTGCCTGAATCCGGTTTACCCAATTTCTGTTAAGCGATTTCAATAAAACTTGGCAAATAGATGTAATTCCACAATCTTTTAAGGTCTTTTTTTATTTAAAAAGTTCTAATTATTATTCATGTCACGTACTTCCTTTGGGTGACTCACGTCTTTTATTGACGTGACAACTATTCAACTCTTTCTTATAAATTCCCCCTCGTTATTAGTGGCTTTACTAGGAACATTATTTACAGTCAACAATTGACAGAGGGTCGCGCAATGAGCTATCATATTTTATGACCGCCAGAAGAATTCATATAAATCATCATCATATCGAATTGATTGCTCAAGGAAGTTATAATTTAATGACAACTTCGATTTAAAGACAATAAGAGATATATTGTAGTTTGTATTATTAGTACAATTAACTGTAGTTATTTATGCCGTCGCCTTTTCAAGCTAGTTGTTTAAATAAACTAGGCTTTTGAGACACAAGTAAGTATAACCTACATATTTTGTAGGTACTTTCGTCGGAAAGGAGGTTTATTGTGCGTCATAAAAGAAGAATTTAGTTTATTTTAAACAACAATCACCTAATATTATAGGCCACGTGCCTTTCTAATGAATCATACAAATTGTATTTCTAGAATATTCTTCCTAATAAAAATAAATAATATACAATAACTAGAATGGTGAGCTAGAATTAAAACAATGATTGCTGTTTTGTTTATTTAGTATTCATAATTGTTTCTACGGTGTAAAAGCATATTTTATTTGCATTGTAATATGGTTTGTGGTTTGCATTATTAGATTATGAAGACATGGCTTATAATAATTCAGATTTTTTCGTTGTCGCGTACAATTAAAACAAACTTAAAAGAACACCTTATACTATTAGATTAATCAAAAATTTCAAGAAAACTGAAAGTTACATTAACATACAATTATTCATATGAAGATATGAATGTGTGCGCGTTAAAAAAAAGGATCGAAGTAACACAAAGTTCCTTGGAAACTGTACTCGAAACAGTGACTTTTTTGTCAAACCGGGGCTATCGCGTTCCCAATTGGGCTACGGAACGTTTTTCATTATAACAATAATAATAATAATAACAAACTAGTGGAGTGTTTTATCAACGAAATTTTGTATGAATATCATGATCGTAAAACACCATGAATTATGTTTCTAATTTCAACTACAGTAGTATTTCAAGAAACAGTAAAAGGGTATTCCAGAACTCTACTCAGTACTCAAGTCAGCACTTGAGTATTGTAGTGAGCACTGAAAATCATACTCAAGTCCTTGCCAATAGGGTCGTATTTCCAGTGCTTGAAATCATACTCAAGTCTGCTCAAATCCTGACTTGAGCTTTGAGTAGAGTTCTGGAATACGACCCTACCTTTCTAATTTTAATTATTACTACCTTTCTAATTTTAATATGTATTGTGTATGTGGCAATACATATAGATTCAATTTGCTGTCGTTTGCGGCATTTTGTCATTATTGAAAACCTACAACGTCGTACTATCGTAAATATCTGATATCGTTGGCATCTTGACTTTATCTAGTTATATTGTCTATAAATACCTACCAGTTCAGTTGCCTGGAATGAGCTCGAAGAAGACAAAAAGTGGCTGCTAACAGATTGACTGCACGTTTGTAGTTAAGTGTACAGTTGCAGTTAACTGCATGCAGTCGATCTTGGCTATATGAAGTCGGGTTTTTCAATTCAATTTCAGCCTAGTAGTTGCAGCCTAAGTAATAGATGTTAATAGAATTGCTACCCCTTAGATATTGCCCCTGTGCCTGTGTGCTAACTTTGGTCCCTACAGTATTAGTGTATTTCATCGAGTATAGAACCAGAAATAGAAACGGAATAAGGGCTATCTACCCCTGCTCCAACTCATCAAGCAAAATGGGCTTTATATCACTTTCAAATATCAACTCTCGTTTGCGCTGAAATCACAATTTAGAAAGCTGAAATAGTACAGCGCCAACAACTGACCTGTATATACGTCTCCGTATATTCCAAAAATATTCTGTATTTATTGTAATAAAGATAATATCTCTAACAACAGGAGGGCTGTTCTATTCGGTGGTGTGGGAAAAACAGCAAAACATCTAATTACAAAACAAACGAAATCACATTTCATCGGTAATTAAATATGTAATTTTTCAATTCTCATCCATTATAGCAAGCTCAAGTCAAACTGGTCGATTTGAAGTCAAACAATTGACGACATCTTTATATGACGACATCCGTCAACTATTTCGGATTCGGGCTGGCCAATTGGAGCGCAGTGATTTGGCAGAATAATTTTAAAACAAATGAAATGACATTTCGTCCCTATTTCTGGTTATATACTCGATGGTCTAATCTTATGTTTACGTTTGAATATAAATGTACATTTACAGCGTCAGTGCCATCTTCTTACCGAGAAATTGAAGAAAACCTTTCATAGATATCTCACATTTCTCACAATAATAGTAATAATAAAATAACTTATTTCTGGTCATATAGCCCGTAAGATAATGGAGTCAGTTACAAAAGAAAACCTTAAAATTGTACGTTAGTACAATTGCAATGAATTTGGAAATATTGCTAATTAAAATACGAAAATTAGGAAAATACACAAACAACCTACTTATTTTGACCAGTAGTAATATTTACCCAAAACTTTAAAATTGTGCAGCAACAGTCTCCACTCGCTTCAGTAGAGACAATACTTTTTTTCACCTAATGGCATAGAAGTCATATGTTCGCGCCTCGCGAATATGCGAAGTGACGTGGTAGTCTATGGGTTAGATATACACATATCTAACCCATAAATATACACACCATACACATACAGATATACACATATCTAACACATAGACTACTTGCGTACATTGACTGACAAAAAGGTTTAAAATAAAAAACAAAGAACTGCAACAAACACATAGAGAATATCGTATGGTCTGTTGACTTGTTCCGTAGCTCAATTGGATAAAAAATTATGATATCCAATGAAATGAACATAACAACATGAACTTTATTACTTTAAATGACATGTTAGAATGCAATAACGTTAAAACTAACACATGCGAGTGAAAGTTGAAGAAATTTATTTTTCACTTCTCATGCTCTTAAAATTCATATTTATGCTGGGTGTAGGGTGCATAAAATAGGATTTTATGCTCTAGTGCATAAAATAAAATCGTCGTTTAAAACCGAGGCGTTGACGCCTGCGCCAACAGCCACGCACACTAGAACTTTATAAAATAAAGTTTTACTTTTGTTTTTTTTTTAATTCGTGTTATACCTATTACAAAATTAAAAAAGTATAAGCAATAATAGTAATTCTAATAAGTTATAAGAAATAGAAAACATAAAAAATAAAAGCTTGTAAAATATAACTGAGCATTATGTAGTCCGATTTGAGTCACCTGTAGAAAAAAAAAGTAGTACATTGGCGGAAAGTTCTTATTTTTTCTTGGCAATACTTGTGTTATCGTTTATTTGTAAAATTGCTGTTTAATTTCCTCGCAATCGAAGTGAAAAGCAGAGTGTAGAACTCGTTCATAAAACTCATTTGACCCTCGACTTAAGTATACCCTCGTCTAAAGGATAAAATGACGCGTTTTATGCACTTGTTGTATAATCTACTAATAAATATGTAAATAAAGAACTAATACACATTAAAAGTATAAGTAGTACAACTAGAGCTACATTAAATTTAATGGAATTGAGTCTCTGCGACAGGGTGCCAAAATCGCTGGCAATGTTTCCCCTTTGTAATGGCTATACGTTGCCGAACCCAGCTGAGCTGTGTTGTGTTTCCCAGTCAGTCCCATAATGTTTTTGGATACCATTTTGAAGCAATAACTGACCTTGGACTTCGACTCCGAAAGTTGCAAACATGTAGTGGAAATAACACTAGCTTGTTGTACTTTGAAGATTTTATGTTTATTGAGATGTTCGATTGTTACATCATACAGATGGTTAATAGTAAACTAAAATCATCAGTTGTGTAATAGTCCTAACCGTAACCTATCCAATATGGTACTTACACTGATTGCTGTGCAATTTCCGGTTTAGAAATAGGGTGACCACTTTTCACTGTATACAGCCATAGTTTTCTTCAATCTTTCTTTTGGTGCACAGATCCATGTCCTATAGAGAACGTTTTTAAGCGACATGCCTGTCCATAACAGTTGCACTGCCGCTCAGAGCTTTAAATCGCAAAGATCTGAGGAGCACTACCACTGCGCCCGTCATCTTGAGACATAAGTTGACAAGTCTCATGTGCTTGTAAATTCACCAAATATTATGCTTTATTATAGAAGAGGTAATGAAAATTGCAGCTTTGGTGTAATAAGGTGACATTAGGGGTGAGGATTAAAGATTCTACTTCAGAAATTAGTTGATAACTTTTTATAAATTAATAAAATACCCTTTATTGCATATAATATTACAGTGACATTATAGAATAATGTGCAACAGGCGACCTTATTGCTATGTAGCTATTTCTTCCCGACAACCTTAGAACAAAAATTTGGGATATGTAAAAGGAAAAGAATATTTTCAAAAATATACTACTTAAAAAGTGCGTATAATTTTAATACATAACAATAAATAATATACTACATTACAAATAATA